TAAATAATCACTTTCGCCAAGATGTTCGTTAAGAAAATTACATTTCCTATTACTACAAAGAACGTATTGAAAGTAGAAGTAGGCTGATCTATATCATAATTATTTAAACCTGATTTCGGAACTACAATGTACAATGCATATTTTTGATTGTCTGGTGGAGAATCAAACAACTGTTCACTGCAACAATGCTATATAGTGACACTATATTTGTAATATATTGCATGGTCAACTGAATGTAAATTAAAGTGACGGATTTTAAATATAATAACTGATCATCTACTTTGTTGCAACATGGACTAACGAATGGAAGTTAGCCTCATGTACATATTATATGAACTACTTTGCAGTTCATTTCAATTGCAAGAAGGTCTCTTCCCTTAGCAGCACCGATCTTAATAAGATTATCTAGTAGTTCTGAGTATAAAAAAACAAGAAGCCAGGGACAGATTTCATGGAAGTAGGATGATAAGTGTTCCTTTTCTATTCTGAATAGTGTTTCGCACTGCGGTATTCAATATTGATCACGCTATCACGATTTCTGTGACAGAAGTTGACACCTAGCAGGTGTACATAAATAACTGGGACAGCAAAAGCTAATTCGATAACCAAGAGCATGTTCCCGGTATCCCATTTCGTACAAGTAGACGTCAACTGACTACACACTCGTAACACAGTTAAAAAAAAAAGTAAAGAAAAAAAAAATGTATGGAAATTGAGGAATGTTATTGGTCATTTTTTGGTCAAGTTGTGGACAGATTCGGGTCAGGATATAGGTTGAGTCATCTAACAATGTTTCTCTGCGTTAATTAGCCGTCCAAATTGTTGTTTATATTGAATCCTGATGTACATATATAACTGTCTGTCTCTGAATGGTAATAGAATTTTGCTTCCTAGCGTAAATCGATAAAACGATAGGCACCGCGGAGACGCATTTACAAAAGATCACGAAGGGAGACTCATCCCAATTGTCTCTACATTTCTTTCAAATCGAGATTTTGATGTATGTATCTTTTCTATATTATTTTTCAGTAAAGGTAGGCGACAATAGCATGGTTTGATTAAGTTGTGATTTTATAACTGAACCTCATACCCGGATTGAGATTATCACCTGCTGTAAGGACTATAATCTGACATTACCGAAAACTCACAATAAGTCGAGAAAAGTTCATCGGAATACGCAACAGCGATTATCATCATCGTGCTGTCCACTTCACTTTTTGATAGCACATTTTAGCATGTCGTCATAATGAGTTTCCATAATGTCGATCATCTGCCTCCACCGGAGAGATGGCCACCATCTTTGAGCTAATGTCAGAATTCATGAGTATATCGGGATTAAAATCATGAAAATTGTATGAAATGAAAATAAAAAGATGCTTTACATAACATTACTTAAGAATATTCTAAGTAGCAATTACCAACGGGCAACTAATATTTCATTATTGTGTCATGTGCATTGTTTGTTAAGGCCGAACGGACAGGTGACCTACGATGTAAAATTGTTTGATATTGTTATAATTATGACTGTATTGTTCTGTGAAGAGTAATTGCTTGATGCAGATGTCATTGGACAGATTTGAACACGTGACTTCAGACAATTTGATGAAGCCACAAAATTTAAGTGTTCCAGTCATATTTGCTCTACCATTGGTTAAATATTCGCACGTTTTCTCGGTTATTTAAGTCAAGACAAAGTGAATAAGAGTTATATGGATATTCCATAAGTTGTATTACCTATTATTAACTTTTATGTATCATTGTGTATAATTTAACACTACACTAGTTATCTCCCTTGTCATGATCAGCACTTCTTATGTTTATATCTATGACGTCATTAAGTTGGACGCTAGTTTATCTCACACTTCTCTATCAACAAATTTGACAGTGAGTGATTCAGATGATGGTCATTTCTTTTAAAGTAAGGTAAAATGGATAATTGTATGGATTATATTTCATAAATTAAGTTTTTTTTTGGAAAATTACCTTCCTACTGCTGGAGCTGATCAATCGATATTCCTGCTACGAAATTCCTTATGCACATCTTTCTATATATCAAGCTATGTTGTAGACTTGGGTCAGTGGTCACGCATAACTATAAGATTTAGCTCCCCTTTATATATAAAATCTGCATGGAATATACTTATATACGATATACTTTGCCTGTAATTACCCATCGTTTCAAACGGTCCATCATATTGTGTCACTATACAAAGTGAATTTTGATGCCATTTCTAAAGCTGTATGTAAAATGTTTTGTACATGATATTGGTTTCCATTACAGACTCCTACGTGGTTTTGCTACCGGTTGCGATTATGTAGTGTTGTATGAGATTGACATAAACACAATACGTGAAATAGACTTTACGTCTGAGTTCAATTTAATTACAAACCTTTGAGAAGTACAGAAATACTGTGAAAGTTTATCTCCAGCAATGTAAACATTTGATTTTGTCAAACTTCAAATGAAGTAGACGATGAACAATAATACTGATATTGCAAATATTTTCAATGAGCTGAAATCTTGAAACGTCCACTTATATTCTAATTTCTAAATTGTATGTTTATTTGTTTTTCCATGAAACGTTTTATTGGTTTCGGTGTTCAATTGGACACATTCGGGTTACATTCATGAAGGTAAAGAAATATTCAAATTTTCACAGTCGGTATACATGTAGTTAAACGTATTGAGATAAAGAAACACTCATTCAATCAACGGTAGATATATATCTTACAACTGGTAAGTATACATTAATATACCTTGTAAATAAAAAAAGCATCCAAGGAAACCAAATATTTTGATATACATTCAGTCGTGCTTACTCTTAGCAAGTGCGTAACGTTTATTTTGAATTCTTAAAAAAGTAATATACTTTGCCATTTATACATGATGCTTAGTATATTTGAATGAGTCCTAACATAAACCCTCGGGTCTTTGGCTGATATCAGGACTCTCAGGTTGATAAGGGTTGTGATGCTAATATGATAATTTCATAATATATAAAGCAATATACAGCTGTAGTTACCATCGTGCTAGATAATTGAATATTATTCAATAATATACGGATACGGAGTCTTTTCTATTTACTGAAATAAACTTTAGTGAACTAGATCAAATTTTAGTAAGCAATCCCCTGAAAATGTGAACTTTCATAAACATTTAGGCATTACTTTGTTTCACAATTGTAGTATGATTACTCATGTTGATATTATCATTTGATAAATAACAACAGAACTCATTTTTTGGTTGAAGATAATTCCCACTTCTTGCTGAACTATGTAAATTTTATTTACTCACGACGAATATAATCAACTTCCTTGACGTACCAACTCACTATAGATTGCTACTGTTTGGTGATATATTTTCATCTTATGATCACAATAAGGAACCTTACTGGATCGATATCATATTTAAAGTCAAAACAATTTCAGAACAATATTACTTTCAGACTAAGAGAGTTTATTTCTCAAAAGTATAACAAAAATTAGTACACTAGGGTGAAGATAAGTTATATCATTTTATTATTATCATTCTACTATATTGTATCTGAAAATGTATTTATATATACCTTACCAAATATAGTCATATCGAAATTTGTCAGTACATAAGATTTATTTTGTTATAAATGTATTTTCAAAAGTAACATTCAATGCAAATTAGAAAATAAAAAGGTATGTTTGATAATCACTAAGGCCATGAGATAAAGCCTTTCATGAACATTCAACAGAAAGACATTTTTGTAATACATTGAAGACGTAGGTGATCAAATGAAGTACAATCGAGTGCAAGGTCATTAGAGTGCATGTACTGAATAAAAAATGAAAACTATAGTATATTTAAGTCCACCAAACGAAACTGTAGGGGGAGGGGGAGGCCTCTTGTTTTTGCCCTGTTTTTTTTTCAATTTTGACTAATATCGAACTCATTTGAGGGTTCACGTAAATAAAGCAATATAACAATTGGGTCCAATTTGGCACTTCCAATTAAAGTTGTTTAAAGGAAGCAAAGAAATCCAATAACTCTTCAGAGATTAAAATAATAAGCTAATCTGAGACCATATGGTTGTGGATTGATACAGAATATTACACTAAATTTCGTCCAAAAGTAAGAATTTTAAGTTATTTAATGCAAATTATTTGTCTTATAGGTCTTATGATCCCATGAAGAACACTGGAAACTGGCAAATGTTGATTAATATAAAACACCCCTCCACCCTCCGGAATGCCCAATACCAAGCACATCCAATATCTTACTGATATAAAGCATTTCACCAATTTAAGTTTAAATTTTACATTAAAACTTCGATTTATTTGTCTTATAAACTTATAAACTTATAAATTATCTATTGTGATAGTTTCGTTTTCGTGACTCTAAACAAATAAACAATGTAAAATAAAAATCTTTGAACGAAGTAATTTTGAAAAGAAATAACTGTCAGTGTAAACCATGAAACATAAAAAAAGGAATCCGAATATATTTTGGTGCATATAAAATAACACTTGATTAATAATTGTTTATTATGTGTAGTCATCACAGCGTACTTATCTATATACATGTATATATATATATATATTACTAAAACAAACAGGGTAAAAACAGGAATTTATCATAATTAGTAAGCATTGTAATGCATTGCTTCTTTTTACACGAGGAAAAAGATATGGTCATTTGAATGGTGCATATAATATATTTCAACACATTGTTTATACTATTGGAATTATTCAGTAAAACATATTGAAAATAATTAACAGAAACTGTCTGTAGGCAATGCAGTAAAGAAGTCGTAACGGACATTGCGAAAACATACGCAAACAATTCATCACTATGGGATTGTATTTTGCAAGAATTTGAAAATAATATTTGCAATGCAATTTGCAATTTGCATAATAAATAATAAATGGTATAGTTTATCTGTTTGTTACTGGTACAGATTAATTGAAGAAATGGCATTATTTTTTTAATTTCTTGACTCGGTGTACCAGATGAATGGTGAAAAGATTCCTTAGATAATGCGTTTCTTCTCAGGTAGAAATTCTTTCGGCTGGAAGTGCGGATTTTTTTGTCCAAGCGTATGCCCAATTTCAGCAAAAGTTGCATTTTTGGGTCTACAAACGAAAAATTGAAATGAAAACTGAGAAAAAATGAAATGAAAACACAAATATCATTGTATAATGTTTAGAACAAATATAATGTATGACTACTTCTGCGTAATAGACGGTTATGTTTTGAAAACGAATTTCAACAAAGATATACTTACAGGGTTTTGCGGTAAATACGGTAGATTATAAAGATTGCTGCTGCTGTGAGTACCACAAGCACTGCTGCTGAACTGCTGGCAATGACAGCTATACTGAGTGGCCTGTCAGACTGGTCACTTATTTCAGCCTCAATGCACTCTATGGTGAGTATATAAAAACGTACAATTCAGCGATAAAATATAATAGAGAAAACATTCTTTTGTAACTTCTCATGCCTTGAAGTCAAATATGTACTGGTACAATCAAATTTCATAATTAAGTAAGTATTTTCACAACAATCCGTGTTTTTTTTATGATATTATCTGGAGCAACTTTTAGTTTAAACAATATTTTATTCAATGTTTAACATTTAGATATACATATAATTCAAATCTTAACTAAGAGGATTTGGTAACAAGCTTAAAGCTTATGTAAAACCATCTCCTGGTTAAGTACAGTTGAGTAAACAGTCGATAACTTCACGGTGTCGGACTTGTATAGTTTTACACAAGTAACCGTGCCACGGCTCTCGATCTTGCCAACAATGTAAACCATTGGTGGCAGGATGACTTAAACGAAGTCACTTCATCTGAATATAGATACCAAAAGAAACCGACAGAATTTATGTTTGGAGAATGTTTATCAATGTTTAACTCTACGCTGAAGACCCGCTTAGCGGTTTTTATTCAATAACAAACGCAGATTTGATGCATTAGAATTTTTTATAAATTAATACTTATTATCGGTAACCTTATCACAATGATAATAAATATGCAGTTATCAAAACACAGTATTTATCCTTAATTACTTTACTACTTTGATCATTTGCATTATTGAAGATCGTCTTATCACTAATCTAATTCATTTTATTTCTTTTAATTCTAATTCAAATTACCTGATCTTCTAATATAGGAATTTAAACAAGAAATGACAGGTAATCTATAAATCTATAAAAAAAAGAATATGGTATTACAATGTGCCATTTTGTTCAAAATCGATTGGAAAATCAATAGTTTGTGCAGAACACCTCTTCAACAAATCAAAGTTTTCAAAAAACTGTTTCATGGTAATGAAAAAGTATGCTTTCTTCCTTGACGAAGATAAAATTGAAAAACATTTGGTGTTATCAGGATAAATTTTTTTTTCAATAAATTTTGTTTATTTTTAAACTTAATTTTAAAATGATCATCTTTTCCAATGTTTTCTGACATGCATATAAGGGAAATCATCTTTTTCAAGCTCAAAACAAACTAGATTTAATATTGGCGATACTATGAAAGAATACTGCTAACGAAAACCTATTAGTATCAGAGACGGAGGGAAATACAATTTGTAACAGTATTAGAGCCTGCGGGGAACACACAATGTGTAAAAGTGTGAAAACATTGGTAAAAAATGCCTGTTGTTTTATGAGATATAGGTAAAACAATCGTTCTTCTGTAATGAATTCATAAGTTAAGATATTATTGATAACCTGGTGACATTATATTATGTTATTTTGCATCATTTGTCAAATAATCTAAATAGTAAAATCATTAGCAAGCGCTAAAATACGAAATTAACGAAAACCCTCAACAACATTCCTTCATTGTGAAATCCATGTAGATTTAATCAGTATATTGTTACATATACAAAATATACATACTCATTTTATTGACTCACCAGCATTGTTGAGATCATCTGTCCAGCTTATCGGGTTCCTTTCAGTGTGACAAAACTTGCAATCATCAGTTATATGGTATGTTCCATTAGGGACACACTCAAAATCCAGAAAACAGAACAAGGGCTGAAATAAATAAGAAATGTATCAATTTCTTTTGTTCAAAATTGAATTCTTTGATTTTCTGTATTTTCATCAGGAGTTATATCAAAATTTTATTTGAGAAATCAAGGTAATTGAAAATCAATTTAAAGTTAAATTAAAACATGAAACTTTCTTGACATACCTGTCATTCATCAGGCCTTAGAGCGCTGAGATGGAACGTTTAAACAAAACTGATTCATCTTCACCCAAAGATGCTTCTGACCACATTTGGGCAAAATCCAATTATTATTACAGGAGGAGCAGGACTTTAAAGAATTTGCTCTATTTTTCCTATTGGACCTCGACCCTCCCGCTCCAGGTGGCCGGGGTCCACCGTTTATAAAACAATGATTCTCCTTTACCCAAGAATCATTCAAACCAAATTTGGGCAAAGTTCAATTATTCCTTCAGGAGAAGTAGCCATTTAAAGGACTTTTTTCCACTTTGTTATGTATTTGTGGAATCAGAGATAACATATTCTTTGAAAATTGCATTAAATGAGGTTGTGTTTAGACACTTAAAGGAATTAAATTGAATACAGGGAACAGCCAAGCGTTACACTATCCCCAAAAGTGAACTTAATAAAAAGTCTCTGATTCACCATGCCAGTTTCTTATACTTATTAAGCAGTGTCCCATTGTCCTTAACTCAAAATTTCGTCACTTTCCGTTCAATGTATATTGTAGCTCTGACAATCTTGTTAACAATCAATATTGTACAACAAATACCAGGGAACAATTCTGAAATACAATCGCATAGGTAGCAAAGTTACAATTTGAGCAACATCCTGATATGCCTACAAAGTTTCGTGTTAATCAGTTGCACGATTTCTAAGCTGAAGCCAGAATAAAATGCCCCTTGAAGAAACGGAAGAACGGAAGGAGTCCGATATGTTTTTCCCCGGAAATGCCTTTCGCGTGGGCTAATGGGACCTTTTATGACCATTGTCTATCGTCTACAGGCATTCAATATCTAAATGTATATACAATCTACCCGAAGTTTAAAGTGTCATTGATAGAAAATACGAGTGGCAACTGAGGCATTCAGTGAATTCTCTTAAATAAGAACATCAAAATAGGTTACCTTGATAATATGTTCAGAACATTACCTTGATAAAGAAATTGACGTCACCACTCTCGTTATCAACGTATCCAATACACGTGGCGTCGAAGTTATAGGCGCTGACGGGGTCACTGAAGGTCACGTTGTCTGTTGTTAGTGTGATATCATACACCAAGGCAAACGACTCCAATCCTTCTACTAAAGGTTCCGTATCGGTTTGTCTTCTAAATCTGTCTTCCGCCGCCTCGATATCATTATCTATCTCTTTATTTGCTGAACGTTTAGATCTCGATCCAGCTCGGTACCGGAATTTCCGTCCACGTGTCGGCTTAATTAATGGCATTTCCACCTCTAGGGACAAAAAATTTCTCCTGATGCCTCGTTTTTTAAATCCTCTTCCGAATTTTTTTACGCTGCCAGTTTTCGTTATCTGGAAAGATAAAAGGTAGGTAAGATAACCAGTGTATGGTTCTCTGTCAGCAGATAAATGTTTCTTCATTTTTGTTAGAGCTTTGGACTATCTTCGACTTAACATATAACAAGCTCCGCAAATAAAAGTAAAACCTATATCATTACAGTATATCATTATTTTGTCATTTTTATGTTAAATATCACTTAATTTATATCGGCCTCATGACTTTCAATTTATTACTGTTGATCAATCTGTGTGGGACAAATTAATTCAAAGAAGTTGCCTGTTGATTTAGAAATTGTCATCCCTAAAAATACCACGTGGTGATGACCTACATTAATTAGTAATCAGAATCGCCTTGAACACACACGTCTTGCAAACTGCAAATTTGAAAGGGTTTATCAGGAAATCTAAATGCTGTAACAAAATATCAAGAAATATCATAGAAAGTTTAAATCAAATTTTGATTTAGTCGTTGACATAAAATTGACAAATGGTGGTATACCTGTTTTACCAAGGGATAGGACTAGTTCAGTGTTTACACAAGTGGTCTTGAAGATGTACCAAAAAAAAATGTCTATACTCTTTGGTAGTAATCCTGTATCAACAGAAGATGTCGCATTAGAAGAGTAGAGATATGAGATATCTGGATCTCCTATTTAGGGGAATTGCCAGGCCTCAAAATCTGCTCAAAACTGGGTTGGAAGTAACCAGAGAATTATTGATAAAGGTCAAATTGATATTTTGGGTTCCAAATTTGATTTTAAAGTCTTCTTTTGTTTGCAATCTCAACAATTAAACATTTTCCACTAACTACTTGCTAACGTAAGCCATTATTTGAGACACTGGGGCCAGAAGGATACTTATCGCTCTAGGGGAGAGACCTACAACCTGTCTGCACGATCCACATGAATGAGGTTGATTCGAAAGAAATCGAAAATGGTTCCCTCCTTACGTCATGCAAGGATGACATATTCATGCATAAAGGTTAGACGTCACCGCTTTAAGATAAACTTTGAAGTCAGATGCGATAATAAAGCGGTCATAAGCGTTTGCACAACGTAAAATCCTTATAATATGTTTCGACTAGTTGCCACCAATTTATCACCGATCAAGGACAAACACTTTCTGAACGTAGTCACTGAACTTTGACCGCTGACACTGTTTCTGCTGAGTACCTAAGGTCAAATTATATCGTAGAGTTGTTGACCTTTGAAATATTGAACTGGTGAATTGGAATCTGAGCCAATGAACTGGAACATGTGAACATGAACTAGTGCCCTTGAACTCGATACTTGTGTTGTTGTGAATGCTAACCAATGCTTGTCGGTAGCCGGAATAAAGCTTTCCGTAATTAAATACGCCAAAAGTGCAATAGTGTTCAATAAAATATATTGTTATCTTAATTTCGTCTTAGGTTTGTATTTTCTGCTATAATCCTACGCAAATTGGCAAATACGCATACTGTGAAATTCATAACTTTACAGGCATTTGTGGGATATATTACTTTAAATGGTTTAAATGTTCGTGACGTTGTTGTTCAAGAAATCATACACGGACTTTTATTATCTCCTTTAATTCCACTTAAGCGATATCTTTTTTTTTCAAGATTTCCTGCAAAATCAGAACCCTTCCAATAATACAGCATTTGCAGAATTCTGTTGTGTGAAATGGTACATAAATAGCCGAGTTCAGAAAACATCGTAAGCAAGAAAAATAAAATATTCTTTTTGGCATGATCGTCATCAATATCTATTTCAGTAATAAACATAATATGTCAGTTCTACTTACTTCTCTTACGTCAATATTTGCGATGTAATCAAATTCACGAACAAATGCCCGCCTTCTCGGTTTAAGGTCGAACACTGTACATGGTTTCCGGCGGCGGTCACACAGACCATTTTCCACACTTAGTACATCCACTTTATCTTTAAATGATGTGTCACACAGAGAGTTTCCGTAACCAGAATCGCACACACATGCCCCTACGGATATTTTGTGCAAGAAGTTTTGTTCATATATGTTTGGATCATGCTTACGGTTTCAAAACAATAAATGTTATATATCCGGCGTTTTTGCTGGTAATGTCATTTGATTTACCCTAATATGTTGTCCGCTATTTAATAATTTGTTTAAAAAATAATATCAACTCAATATTTCTCTGATGATACATTGACAACAAGACCTTTTCAACAATAAAGCAACTGTTTGATTGGATAAACACCTAGCACTTTTCAATACTTACCTTCAACACAATGTCCATGGTTACCACAGTCTACTGGACACATGTTCATTATCGCTGGTACTGGATCCATTTGGGCAGCATTATCTATTTGACATGCAGTGGCAAGTATTTGTCTTGAGTTTTCAACCCAATCAGTGCCTTCATCTAGTGCATTTGGCTTAAAAATAGATAGGCAAATATACTACCATTACGGAGTTGCAATTATCCTGAGGTAGTACAAAAGCATTTTTTTTGTCAGTACAAAATTGAAATTATTGTAAAACCAAATAATGATTTTAACTACATCATTGAGCTGTTTCGCCCCTCTAGGACTCGTCAGTGATGCTGACCCAACTCTTGAAACTTAGGGGACGACTTAGAAAGTGAAAACTTGTCGAAATGTCATAAGCAAGATGAATAACTCTAAATTTTGTGGCATGTAGGTTACGGCTAAACATCAGTAAAAAGTGTCTACCGACTTCGATCTAACGTCGGTAGCTGGAGCGTTGCACATTCCTCAAAATACTAAATTGTTGACATTAATTCAAATCATGAATTACATTTCAAGTAATCTAATTATTCTGATACACTGTACTCTTAATATCCTTGAAGAAGAGGATAATTTCCCTTTGCTAGAAAATGTTCTATGTCAAAAGTGCATTATCAACTTCATATCAATAGAATAAGCACATTTTAAAGTTCATTTACATGAATTTATAAAGCTTTAAAAAAAACGCTATGATTTTACATCGAAAAACATACATCCAATATTAGATCTTCTTTGCAATTTTCGAGTTGGTCGTTGAATGAAGGACATTCTGGGAATTCTTCTCTCAGATCCGCCATCATAGTCTCACAATCAGGCTGCGTTTCCTAAAAAATGAAAACAGGCAATTTTGAAGATTTTTTCACGGAAACATAATTTTTATCTATTTTGAATATCTTTAACGCATTTTCTATTATTTTCAGAAATAGATTTCAACGCTGACGAAACCTATTTTCAACATCTGAATTTCTTATCGCTTTCATAGCATGTTTAATCGATTTCCAGTTTCAATTAATATTTAATTATAGATAAATTTTTACCCGGTTCACTTCATCTTGACGGTCAATAATTCGCTCTGATGGATTCTCGGGTATTTCTAAAAACACATCACATGACTGATCTCTGACGTCACCCCACCATTGTGTCTGCTGACACGAGCATGAGCTTGAATCTCTTGGCCACTGTCGATGTCCACAGAAGCAGTAGCTGGGACTGTTCGGTCTAAAGGGAGTCGGATTGATGTAAACTATATTACCAAATTCAAGTGGCGGAAATAGTGACTGTGACGATGGTACGCTGAAATAATGAATATGTATACAGTACTTAAAAACGTACATGTAAAATAAATGTGGAGAAAAAAAAACAAGAAAATACCAAGATGTCATAACTGCACACAGAAAGAGTTTAAGGATGGCGTGATATTTTTCTACTGAGTATTGGAAAAGTGATGGAAAGATGTGGCATTAAGCATATTTAAACAAAAAAATCTTAAAAAAATTTATTGCCAATCTGGATTTTGCCCCGGCTATTCAACCAATTAATTACTTGTTGAATAAATCTAACAATTTGGGAAGGACGGCTGTATCAAGGAATTAAGTACGTATTGTGTTTTGTGATATACATTTTTTCATTGGACTGGACGATAAAGTGATTAATTGGTTTAAAAACTAACGCTCAGAAAACGAAACAAAATTATTAATAGGGCGCAGTTATATTTTTTGGAAAGTAAGGCTCAAGGTTCCATCCTATGACATTTACAGCTTTTAATTTATATAAAGAGCATTGTTTATGACATTGGAACAATTGTTAAGCTATTTGCAGAGGATACCTCAATTCATGTTTTTGAGGAAACACTCTTTGATTAAGATGAAAATTAAACAATGGATGGCAAGTTGATTTTAACTACAAAAGCATGATTGGACCTAGAAAAAGGGAATCACCTTGCCATCCCGACATATTTTCATTTATTTCTCTAACACATTGAGAACCTGTATAAAAAAACAGGTTGAGAATTATGAAGTGAAAGACGAAGAAATTACAAAAAGTTATATAACTGAATAATATTATGTAGGATGGGGTCAGGTCAGATAAGTAAGTCACTCCTTGGCTTTAAACCTGACTTGATTTAGCAAAGGGAAAACTTCAGTAAAACTAAGGCAAAACACGGATTTTCCGATTCCAGATCAATACCAGGAGAATACATCCAGATGTCGCGGAAGAGTAAGTGTCTTCTGTTCTGCAAATCTTGGTGAATCCAAATAATTCATGTCACAATTCCAAAATAGAACAAGATATACAATATCGGAACCAATAAGCAAACTACAATTCCTCTAACGCATCAAGCATCATGTAGCACAATTATGACATAGAATATTTCTCAGTGAGAACTCAATGACTCTAAAACTTCTCCATACTTTGAATCAACCTGCACTCTTCTCTAAAGCCTATGTAATAAGTTTGACGATGTCTTGAACGAAATTCACGATAAAGGGAACAGAGTCTTGAATATTGAATTAACTGTGACATGGGTATTCAGGCACGATGCTATCCAGAATTGGAATATTAATATGGAAACTGAAATCACCGCAATGAACACACAGTTTCATGCAAAAACTTTCCCTGTTGAAAACCTATTGAACGTACATGGGGGAATAAATAGTATTGCTTAACAACGAATGAAACTGTGAAGGTGTTATTGGCAGAAATTATTGTAAAATCGGTTTTCTATGGGTAAAGGAAGGTATGGTAGGTCGAGTATGAGTTTCTTGGGTTACATGATTTGTAAGTTGTGAGCGATTAGTATTCCTAACACAGTGTGGAAGAGGATCAGCATTAAGGACATTTTTGATTTCCACCGCAGTGTCAAAAGGATATGAAATATTAGAATATACAGTAAACTAATGAATTAGATTGACACAATAGTAAACATAGATGCTTACTTTTTATAAGTGAAAAGGATAATATATATCAGCAGAAATCAAATTGTTTCATTTCAAAACAAATAAGTGTAAATTTCTGAAATGAAATTGACCGACTCAACTTACCGAAACTGTTCTGTGAACTCGAGAGCATGTACGCGGGAATTACAATCGGATCCATAGGGCCTATAGAATGTATTACAATTAAACACATCACAGTCATTGGCACAGTTGTCGTCTAGTGTTCCACACAGCCCACAACTGCTGTCTACATCGTAAATAGATGGGTACACCCACACGTTCCACAGAGAAACTGATTCTTTCACCTGCCCTTTTCTTGCTTCCACGCGAGTGCCATGGGGTAACCATACCTGTGATATAGTTCACGCAGTTGAAATGGATTAACATTTACAAACTCAAACAAGATTATAAAATAAATTATATGTATATTATATAGATGTACGATGAACATTTCCTTAATTCCATTCCAATATGAAATGTTCTTAACTGACGATAAAAGTGCTGAATATATCTTGACGCATATTGTTTGGTTCTCTTGTTCGTTAATTTTGCATTTGGCAAAAATGATATATTTAACGTGTCTGTAAAATGTAAATTTTTTCTATATTACTTTGTATTTTTCATTGCATTTTTAAACACTATTGCAACTCGATTTGTATTTGTATAATCTGTTTTCTTTCTCACATACTTTGACAACCGTGTCCGTTTCTTCAACACGTAGTATGTTATCCTCACAGCGAGTAAAGCCTTGGTACCGGCTATCTTCACATGTATCCACCACGTAAATATCATGGCCAGCCATCACTGCTATTCCACAAGGGCAAAAGGGTACATGCCCATCCCCACGACAAGATGAGATTTTAACATGAACCTGTACAAGAGGTGATTGCATCCAAATAAATATCACTGGTGTACTCTTTGGATACAAACATTAAGGCCAAGTCGATACTGTGGAAATCTGAATGAGCAAAATTTCATTATCATCTTCATCTGTTTGGAAATCTTCGTTATAACAAGATGTAGTTGATGGTCAATATTGTTGTGTTTGACAGGAATCGCATTCCTTCTTTTAAAAGTATTTATTCAAATTTATAGATAAATCACTCCTAAACTTTAAACCTGACTTGAAGGGAGATCTTATTTGTTTAAGAAGCTGGAGAGGATTAAACATTTTAATACAATCGTTCAGAAACAATAAAAAAAATACCCGATGTGAACAGAATATTAATCAAATATTTTAAATGAACAAAAAAAGGTATACACGGAGGCTATTGATTACATGGAAAAGTCGTTGCCTTCTGCTTCATAAACGACAATTGCTATGTAAATCTTTCCAAATATGTAATGTCACTTTCCAAAATATCGCACAAAGAAGTAGACTATTATAGATATATAGATTCATATGCTTCTTTCGAAATTCTATTTTGTGAATTTGTCTGTCAGTTAAATTGATTTCCAAATCTGATTGGCATATCCGATCGACGCTGTCAATAGAAATAGTGTCATTTACAAACGAAAAGTCATCAGTATATCTGAAACTAATAAAGAAAGGACTTTGAAAGGTCATTGTGTCATGTTTTGATAAATCCTTCGATAAGTTCAGTTTCGTATTCAAGCGAAGCCAAAATCAGCTAGAAGGGGAGAGTCAGTTCCCATGCGTATGCCATCAGTCTGTCGGAATATCTTATCACCAAAATCTACGTAGAATTTGTCAACTAGAAACTCGATCACTTTTTATGATTTCGTGCTCGGTGTATTCTTTCTTTGATAAACGTGTTCCTGTGATACTTAAACAAGGTTTGAATGTACATATAGATTACGGTGTTTAGCACGAAGTAGCTCAAATCTACAAAAAGAACCCTTTACGTACCTACATAAGCTAAAGTTTCACTTTGATTTTTTTTTTCATATTTCTTGCAATGTATCAAATACAAAATAAAGTTATAAAGCATGACAGTATATTTAAGATATGGTGTAGACCATATAGTTACTATCTCAGCATTGTTTGTAAATTTTATCTAAAACACGTGGATCCGTTACTTCTATAACAAAAAGCCTACCTTCAGGGAAACGCTTGGGTTGGAATACCATCGTGGGTATAATTTGGGGCAATATTTGTACAACACGTATTCTCCATCTGTCTGTAACTCATAACTCCTGAAAAAGATTGTTCTTCCTCGACAATCAATTGTTTACCAAGACCAAACTCTCGAAAGGTGAAAAGGATATTTCTCGAAAATAACCAGTTAAACTAATATTTTTTCGTATTTTGCAACATGCTGTTTTGTGACTACGAATACTTCCTTCCTCATTAATTCATATAATAAAGAATTGATCAGGAATAATGCTCTCTGTAGAGTTACTATTAATGTTGATCCTTATTACATCCTAATGAGATTTGTAACATTGTACTTTATAATAGGTACTGTCTCATGATGTCGTTATGTACTTTATTATGAGTACTATCAAGTATTCATCTATGACAGTTATACATGTGAAATCAAGTAAATAGTCATGATTTTGCATTTTTATCTAATGAAAAATAAAGAGAATGCATCTTTCAAGGATATTCAATGAATGTTTTCGATTCCTCGAAACTAAATCATATCGTAGAAAATGTCCTTTTTCATATTAACCATACATCCATTACCTGCCATCAAATGACCTCATATGTGGATCACAGAATGCATGACAACTTTTCCTTCTCCAGTGTTGTCTATGAGACCGCTCACGTACCCGAACCTGTCACAAAAACTTTCTGTTAAGCATAGAAATGCACGTTACACTGTTATTAAGATGTGTGTTTTCATTTAGAGACAGCTGCATACGTTAACTGCATGGGCATGTATGATGATAACAAGACTATATGAACAAAAAGGCAACATCCCTACTACAAATTTGAAATGACAGAGGTGGATATATGAAAAAAGGTGGCGAAGAATATTGATGTCTGAAATATGTTTTCCACATTGTTGCATGAGATAACTATTCATTAAATTGATTTAATGGTTGATAACGATAATAATTCAATATTCGAGTATATTGCTTTAGTTAAATGTGTGAATTCACATGCATTAAGGCTAAAGAAAACTAATTAAGATATTTGCTCTTGTTTGAGAATGGGAGGAAGAAGATGACACTTACGTTGACACTACCGAAAATTCCATTTGGCCAAAATGCATTTCTATCTGATGTCATACGTAACATTATAGGAATACTCTTTCTGGTAATATAATGCTTTGTACGATACGGGAAACTATGTTTAATTCTGAAGCTAAGGCGGAATGGGTCTCCACTCGGGCTGAAACTTCGACGTCTTCGCGCAGGGGCACTGCCAGCTCCTGTATCAGAAATAAACAAATTGAAATATCATCGACATACAGTGTATAACAGGTAAAATAAGAAAAAGGCCTGACATTAAACAGTTTATAATCAAATTAGTATGGATAAGAAACGCGAGGACACGAATAGAAATATTCTTCACAGTTACATAGTACATAGTGCGTACATTTAAATACAAATTTAGAATTAGATACATTAACCAGATAAGAAATTAAACTCCATCATACTGTTGTTTCGACCTTCTAGGACTCCTTATTGATAATGAGGTCCTTAACTGTAAGAAATATAGGAGTCGACTGAGAAAAACAACATTTACCGAAATGCCAAAATCTAGATGGGGATTATAATTAGTTTTCACAAGCGACATTGGTTATTAATGGTAGGACAATGTGAAGGGATTTTTTAGGTAAATTTCAACCCATCAATATATTTTCAGTTTTGGTGAAACAGATAATTTGATTCGTCCTGTTATTCGTTCCATGTCTTTTTAAAACAAGGTAATGCCGCGTCTACATGATTCGATACTGTACGAATAGATGGGAAGCAAGGAGAAATCAACTAGTATCATGATTTGACATTCTGAGCTCCCTGTAACTATTACAAATACAAGAACATGCCAATAAAATGTTTAACAGAATGTGATGATATCGGATTGCGATATCCTATATCCTATACTCATATTCATTCGATAATGCGACAACCACGATACCACGGAATGCGAATAACTTTGGAATGAAACAAAACTACAGTAAATTTGAGCAATAAAGTAGCAAAAGTTATGCATTCGTGCAAAACAAGAAATATATATAATCATGAATAAGAAACATTTGCTTTTAATGGATAAAAAACAAACTCGTGACTTAAATATTAACAATCGCCTTGTTATCATCAAAGCTTGATACTGACACAAATACGATTACCTTCAACGAGTACCCCGTCTGAAACTCCGCTTTCACCATTCGGTGCATTCTCTACACTGACGAAAGCCATTTCAACTGATGGATCTGTCGGTGTTACAGGGACACTAGGATCGACAGCAAACAGTTTTACATTGCAGAATTCCTCTCCACATGGACAAGAGAGAGGGGTGTTTATGAGAATGTCAACATTATGGAATTCTCCGGGCTCAACCTCAAAGGCCATATCATTTGCCTGAAAATGATACAACGTGAAGAAGTTATATTGTAATTCAAAGTCTTTGAAAGAAATTTTACACAGAAAACCTGCACTATGAAAGTTTTTTTTCTTTTTCCTTCCGACCAAAAAAAAACCAATACTGTAACTTATAAAGAATAAAATTCTTTCGTTTTGTTCTCTTTTCCTCATAGAAGATTTGTAAAGATAGTTGTCATCCAGTCATATTCAACCCAAATAATCTAAAGTGTTCTGCGTTACAATAAAAATAATAATACTCATGTGCCAGTTATATATTGCGTATCATGAAGTGTTTCTACCACAATAGACGTGTTATTAAATTCCAATTGCATCAATTAAGCAATCAAATTGATATTTAAACAAGCATTTTAGACTGGATATGGTGTAACACTTTACCTGGTTTGGACTGGCTGACACGGAAACTGGATCAAAATAAGTAGTTCGTGCTTGATTTTGCGATAATTTGTTTTTGTTTGGATTTATATCATTTGTTTTTGTTTTGAAGATTAAAAAAAAAAATCCCAAAAAACAACACCTAGTTCTGGTTATAATCTGCAATTATTTACGATATAATATTTCTACAATTGTCACTTTTGCACATTTATCAGCGGCGTATCATTACGCCCAAAATGATCACGTTAACACTCCACACATGGGTACAAGTCAACTCCGGAATATTTCTTTTATTGTGGTAGAAACAGTTCACATAAAATTTAGGTTGTTATATATGGAACTTCTTACACTCTCGTTAGGTATTTCCAACTTTCGGAAAATAACGAAGAAGACTGAAGGAAGTAAGATTTTTGTCTATCCACATTTTCCTTGTTCAGCGACCCGTGTTTGTATTTGCATTCAGGCAATATTTCATACAGTTTACAAGAGAGCGATAGTTACGAATGATACCTCAAATGAAACAGAGAGCATTTTTTCAACTAACTGTCAAAGTCATTATTTAAGTATTCCAATTAATTTTACCGAACAAGTTTACTCCCCAGTATATTTACAATGGGTGTTAATATTCTCTCTATACTAACCCTTGTAAACTTACCGCCAATCTCGCGGGAATTTCCATTTTGGATGGTTTAAAAAGACACTTCTGGCGACATTACGTATAATGGTGATCATTAGAAAAGGTCATTGCCTCATTTCATTGTTTTGAAACATATGCAAGTTGATAGGACAAGTTTAACATTTACAAAAATTATCTGTTGTTATATAATTATGAAAATCCGTTTTTCGCGACCCAGAAAAATTTAAATAATGGATAACAATTCTATTTCCCTGTGTTTCACAACAAGAACTTGATTGTTTGCCGTTGTGTGCTTGAATGTTATTGAATTATAGCATTCCAACATTTCTAAACAAATAGCACATGAAATACCTTCAAACCGAAAAAAATTTCGTCGCTGAAAGACAGTTCTCCAACCATTCCCGTTGCTGTTGACCGGACACCGACTCCACAGGAAAGCTAAATCAACATCATCAAAACTGCATTTTGTATAATTTTGTATAAATATATAATTGAAATTATATATCTTAGTTATATGACACCTCACACTAAGTTATGATTAACATATTCATTATACTTAACGTTATGATGACACTTTAGGTCACTATGATCATATGCCAGATACATTACCTAACAATACACAAGACATTTTGTCATGGTGACCTGACATAACATTATGATGAATCTACACTCGGCATTACGTCATTATGATGCCCAAATAAAAGACACAGGATTTTGATTTCCATATTCATTAGACTTAAGGCTTTGATTGCAATATAACAGTAACGATGACCATATACTACACACAGGGTTCTAATAACCAAACACGAGACATATCGTTATGCTGACCACATGCCAGGCCAAATGTTATGATGACCATATACGCTGTACTAGACATTGGGTAATGATGACAATAAACTAGACGCTAGATCATTTAGTGGTGTTAGTAATTAGGAAGTGCCATATAAAATAATAACATAAATACATGTTATCAATAATCATCACTTCATCACATAACAAAGAGGTATAATGGTTTTACATTCACTGCACGGTAATATCCCTCATTGACAAGATCTTCATCCGTTATTATCGCCATCGTCAGGTTAGCCGCGTTGACCTGGCTCGTCTTTAGTAAAGGCATTTCTGAGACAAACCATGTGACTAAATAGACGTTGGTGTCGTTTTCAGCCTCTGGTTCAAACTCACAAACTGCAACGATCCTTCCCGTGTCATTCAAACATTCGTGGTAAACATCTATCGTTAATATTGGGAATACCATAGGCGCGAACTCTGCAACATAAAGTATACTTATAATTGATCTGACATACATCTTTATAGCATGCCATTTTGCCTCCCCTGTATTTCTTTCCATAATGAACCTATTGTATTCTATAATAATTAGTTCATACTTAGATGAATGTATACATCACTATACCGTTGACCATTTATCGCATTTGTATATAACCTCATTTCAAAGTCATATATTTTTTTTTGTAATAATTGTTTTATATTATTTCATTGCAATCCGTGGGTTATTGATTGTCTTGTGCTATCGAAGCATTTTTAATGTTTTCCTCTATAATTTTACGTACCGTCAGTTGAATGTGGAATATCTGTTAAAAATAAAGAAATATCAGAACATCTACAGAGCTAATAGCAAATCAAAATACGCCAGAAATAGAAATACTCCAATCTTACATGTATTGGTATACTTCTGTTCTTATTTATATGGGCGAGATTTTTCAGAAAGAGACAAAATCCTTAAACATTGCCACCAGATTCAAATTAAGCCTTTATCATCACACACGTATCCTAGAGGGACGAAACACTTGTATAATGCAGTTCAACTCATTAATGGCTACTCTGTGTCTTAATCTGAATTAGTAACGAAATATGCTATTCACTTGTGTGTTGTTTTGTAAAATTTTCTGCAGTCATTGCAAGCAACATGTTAATCATACAAGCATATTCTGTTTACATGACAGTTGAACAGTATTATCTTATTGTTAAATAGGTGTTAAATAACAACTAATTCGGACTTGTCATGTTACATACTTTTTTATGAATTAAGTTAATGATGATGGATATATCTAAGAAAAATCGACTTAGAAAATAAATATATCCCTTGGCATATGTTCTATAAGTGAATACTGATGAAACTACAATAAAGGATACCAGGTTACACCAAAATGCAAGGAAAGAAACAAGCACAGCGGTGCGGAAGGTTCATAAGTCTTTGTAACAAAAGAATTTTCGTTGTGAAATATATATGACTTACCGAAGCAGTACGAAGAATTACTGGGTACCATTGGTGAGAGGTTGTAGATACGAAAATCCCCACAGTTCCTTACTTGGATGGTGACGTAGGATTGGTTGTTTCCACTTATGTTAAAAATGGTCAAATTCATGTCGTGTCCCATTCCGTCGTTAGGTGGTAAGGGATCTACAATATTACTTTCATCATCATCATCATCATCATCATCATCATCATCATCATCATCATCATCAATAGATACAAGAAAAAGCCTCCCCTTAAAAGTTTACGTCTCAACTTCATGTAACAAGGTATTTTTAGATGATATTAAAGTTCTCGGCCGCTTTTGCTTCACATTCTAATATGATGAGTGCCATCTAGATACGGCAAATTTAACATGAAGGGCTGATGTTGAATTTATCCTTATCCAGGTCGCATTCATATCGTCCATGGATGTAACCTGAAAGCTGTTCGGTATTGTAATAATTGCCAATGGTATTTGACCGTTACCAGTGCACTGTAATGTTGGACAGTAAACCCTTAATTGAGTTCAGTATGATTGACGTCATAATACGAAAACAAAATTCAACAGATAACTTAGATATCTAGGTATTTCAAGCAAAACAATGTAATATTGATAGCGATTCCAACTGACACGGTAATTCATGATTTGGCTTTTAATATTCATTACGGCATATCTGTACATGCAATGTAGACGTCAAGGCATATACGATGATTATTTGGTTAAAATCATCACGAAAACACCAACATGTCAATGTAATCATAATCCGAACTCTAAACTCCATAAAACAAAGGAGATATGAACAAACGAAATTCCTGAAAAAGCACAAGGTAAATAAGAAAAGGTGTTGTGGAAGTGTAAGCATCTTTAAAAGCCCTGTGTTACGAGTTTGTCCGTAAACAACTTCTTTCACGAAAAACTTGATAATGGGAACAGGTCCTTGAATACCGAAATAACTGCGACATTTAAACACCTGAGGTTGGTGAAGGAAGGGTATTGCTAATATATATAATAAAAAAATGGCATCAGATCGATTCGAAATTCAAATTGAGGGCAACATATATGAACAACAGAAAGACATAGAAGAAGAGGAAACCCAACCATGCGTTCTGAAGTGGTATGCCTTTTCTGCTTTATGGACGACACCCGTAAGCAAGGTCACGTTCCCGACTGGGAACAAGGTTAACAGCCATGGAACGAACAGGAACACTAAAAATTATACACACTTTGGACATTGTGTCGCTCATGGAAATGGAAAATCTCTTAAAGAGGTCGTGACAGTCATACAAATTTCTTCCTTATTATATTCATCATCTCGCATATTTTGAAAGCCTGTTGTTGAGAGCTGACTGTCAGTTGTCGCAGCTTGTACAGAAAATTTGAAATTTCGAAAAAAAAAAAAAACGATGGTAATTCTCAATTAATGCCTTGTTATATATAAAAAGAAAGAATTTGGAGGAAGGTTTGATGTCTAATATAAATTCAGCCTTGTATATCAGCTAAATGATTGCTCTCTTGACAGGAAACTTTTCTGGACATAAAAAGTCTTTTACGTTTACTTCTAATGTACAACAGGTCTTGACACAAACATTGATCTCTTTTTCACTATGATTGAATATTTTGATTAGCTATTATTTGTATGAGGGCTGGTAATGATACTTTCCATTTGTATAAATTTCGAATTTTAGGAGAAAGGACAGATGGAAGCCGTCATCAAAACCCGACAAACGAATGATAAAATTCTTAACTTATTCATTTTATGCGTGAAATATTGTCTATCAGTTATCCAGAGAAGAAATCACGGATATGAAAATTATAACACATAGCCAAGGGAGATGAAACAAACATACTCTCCGCATATATTGGTTGTGCTCCGCCACAATGATGAAAGTCTGGGTTTTCCACTGGAAATGGCTGCGATATATCGAGTAGTGAACTTTTAACCCATCCTGGGGTCAAAGTACTATCATCTAAAATAGCTGCATCGAAAAGAGGCCTGCGATCCAGAACGTTCGATATATGTGGGATGTCATTCCGAATACATAAATCTACAAAAGAGAATATTAAGGATCGTTCTAAACCACAATCTACAAAATACCAAAGATCAATGGATTGTTATAGATCACTAAACATTTTGATATCAACGGTTTTAATATTACTCGCATATTTTCCAAAGTTAAGTGATGGACTTATTTTACTTTATATTAACCTGTAAGATTTAATTGCCGTTAATTTTATTCTTTTGTACGTTTAACATGTTAAATCTGGTCTGATGTAATAGAAATGTTTCCATTGTCTCGTCCTTAAATGAGAATGACTGTCAATAAAAAACCTAAACTATTTCTATGTACGAGTATTAGAATGCAGTGATTGCATAAGGCATGAAAGGTTAACCAATAATATATCTTACCTGCATTCGAGTTAGGTTCTGCAACATAAAATGAAGGAATATTTATTACATGAAACTAACAACCAATTCTGTCTCATTACATCGCATCAGATTATAATCACACGTCAAGTAAAACTTTATTAAGACTTTATGCCCGATTCGATTTTTATATCACGATAAAAACCAGAATTGTGCTATGTTAAGCTTGTTCGTTTGATCGTTAGTTTGACAACTTGTTGCTATCTTTAGATTAACAGTAATTGATTGAAACTGCGAAATATCCGCATTAGGCTTTGTTATAATATCGTTATGGACATAGCGACTGTAAGCCTGTACCATTTAGTATGCGTACCGATGCTAATGAGACAAAGAGGTTGAAGTAAATATTTCATCTTACATTTAGCATAGTTTGCTCTTATGAATGATTTCGCGTGTGATAATGAAGTTTTTAACAGTCTATTATGTTGTTTCGTTGGGCACATTTTATTTATTTGCGAATCCACAAAGAAAAATACAAGTACCGAGTATGAACAACATTGAAAATGATCAAGCTAACTTGATCTATTTCTTCAGTACAATTAGGAAATTAAAAAGCGTAGCGATTCCATTGACTTAAAAACACTCTTTTGAAAATTTAATGTTACAAAGTTCTTTGGGTTACTTCTGCTTGTGTCAAAAATACATACATTAGATCTTATTCAATAAAAGTCTATGTCGTACCCTGCAGTGAAAAAAATCCAAGTTACTTTAAAAATCAAATCACGGTAAGAAAACAGCAGGAGCCGAAACACGCAACAATTAAATACATTCTTTGCCAAATAATAAATGAAACTGAATTGTGTAGTTGTTTTGATGACAGTTTGAAGGCGACTCAAAGAACTGTTCCCGTTTGCATGTATGATATTCCTTGATGATAAACGGTGAATTTCGTTTGACTTGACAGACTGAATCTTAGATAAGCATGTCACACTACAGTAGCCACAAACCACAGTTCTGATATAAACAGAGAGGTGTAGTTTATTAGAGTGTGGAAAATCAAATAATGTGTTTTTTTCTTGAATTATCTTGAATTATATATTCTATATTATAAATAATTTATAACATATTTGCCATTTATTTTTTCTGATTACGTTTATCAATATTCCAAATATGTTTGGAGTGACCACTTTTTCGTATTGATTATACACTGGTCATACAGAATTTTGTCGTTCATATTTATACATGGATATGTCAAATGCACATAATTATACCTAAGCATTTAATGTCATCTATTTCTTACAAGTTTTGTATAATTGAAAATTTACTGTATTTTTTCAACAGATTTCCCGATATCTTTTTCCCATTTTTCTTTTCAGTGAAGACTTACCGAAGCAATATGTCCCCATCGGTATTGACTGCAGTTGGTACATCCGATAAGTGCCACAGTCTTTGACTTGAAGAATCATAGTCTCCCAAGTCAAAGACATAGTGTTATAAAACCTGGCAGTTACATTCTGTTGTGTGTTGTCGTTAGGGATGGTGGAATTCGGACCTGAGTTATGAAAAAAACATTAAAACTCTATATAGGAAACCAGATTTTTTTCTTCAATAAATAAACATCGAAAAGCTTCATGATAAAATGATGGTGCTTTATATATGTCAAAAATGTAAGTATAAACTTTATTTTACAACGATAACGAAAACAGTTATTCATCTTCTTCTATTTATCACTCTTGTTGATCCAGATTGAAGCCTGTCAATTGTGGGAAGAAACCGGACTTCCCGGGGATACCGATATTACATATTTGCTTCGTTGAGAAGTTTACTTAATTGCAAATGAATGTAAAAATATTTTGGCAATTGGAGAATTACATTATTTGTATTCCTTGAGGATTGAATAACCTCTCCCTTCAGAGGACTAATTTCATATTCAATAACAAATTACAAAATCCCGCCACTGGCTACATTGAAAATTGATAAAAAGACGATGTGTTGTCTCAACTTTGACATTAATGTAATCTTTCCATCCATAATAATTCCGGTACATATCTAATTTCAAATGTCAGAGTTACATTCGCTGAATTAATATTTTATTTCTACACATCTGAAATCTATTCCATGTAAAATACACATGTATTTTCTTTTCTGTTCCAAGCTTAAAAACCATACATTATACCAAAGAAAAAAGTCAGTGCCACCATTCATTTAAAATTAAGAATTAAGATGTAGTACAAAAAAGGCTTACCTATTAATCATCAGTGATGCTAAATGCCTGGCCCCATATATCTCAATTTCAGATTTCCTCAAGCCCAGATTTTCCTCAGCTAATATCTCCTTGAAAATATCTTGTATGAAAATTCCTCAGGGAATTTCAGGACATCCTAGTCGAGGACTTCCTCCTGTTCTCTGAGAAAATTTTATACAAGCCGTTTTTGAGGAGATATCAGCAGAGGAAAATCTCGACTTGAGGAAATCTCAAGTTGAGATGTTTTATACAAGTGGGGCCAGGAGGGTTAAACCTTAGGTAGAGTCTGAGGAAAATCCAAACTTGTCGAAATTATTGTACAGGATATCTACACGCTACAAGTCCATATACGTACCAACGATCATAGCAGGATATAGAGAACCACACTGGTCAATTGTTGGTTCTGCTTCCGTATCGTCGGTGATGACCATGTCGTAATTATCGGTGCCGCTGAACCACTGGTTCGCTAACAAATCCTCCAGTCCAATATTAACGGTGTCACGTCCTCTTTGTCCAAGAAAAGGGACGACGGCCGGATTTGGTATTGCACAGGGATCTCAAACGAAAATCAAATTCAGTGTATACAAAAATGAATACAAAAATAATTTTCTAAAACCCCAATATTTTCTGCTCATGACAAATTTTTATCGAGTTTGGTATTACAACAGTAACTTTGTTATTTTCTCTGTCACATATAATGCTAAAATGGCAACGCTAATCTGTAGTTGCATCATCCAATTTAAGCACATGTAACATTACTCTCACAGTATAGGACCATTGAAATTTCAAAGAAATATTCTAAATATTCTAAAGTAACTTAAGTATTATCTATTGTTACTTTACGTTCTTTTAAGAGTCAGGGTTAGATAATGACGTGTCAATATTGAGTGATTGAAAAAAAACCGGATTTCCCGGAGAAAACCACCGACCTAAGGCCAATACCTGGCAATTGCCCCAGGCATAAAACCAGCGACCCAGAGGCAAAGGCTAGTGATAACGACGGTCAGACGTCTTAATCACTCGACCAACACGACCTCCATAGACGTTGGGAATATGATAGTAACATGACTGTTGGCATATATTCCTTGCTCACCTTGTGTCCAAACAGTTTGGGGAAGCAACATAAGAACAGCCAAAGTGGACACCAAAGGCCTGACAAACCCCTCCATATTTGTCGGTATGGACTGGAAATGTTTTCTAAAACAAATCAGTGAAAATGTCACGAATGTCACCAGATTGTCAACCCAAAAGTCATTAGCATATGGTGTTATTTCACGATGCTTACTTTTAAAAACAGCATTGCTATCACAAAACATTACAACTAACGAACAAATTATCACTATACTTACACCCTGGAGAATATTTTCCACCTAGCGCACTAGCGCAGTTGAACTTCACACGAGGAGCATATGGTAAAAAATGGGCAAGAACTTATTTGAAGTTACATTTCGATCGGTCGTTAGCACAATATAACTCATATAACAGCTATGAGTAATTCAATTTTAATATTTCAATTAAGGCAATCCCCGCACGTTATCTTTATGCGACACTTAATTGGTACATAAATTAGATAAATGGTTCGTTAACAGTAAAAGCTAATGTAAAACAGTAAATATTGTGTTTCCTTAAGTGGGGTAATTAAAATCTATTTCGGAACAGGTGACCTTTGATGAGATGTTAAAGTTAAACTATGTTCTTATTGTATTGGATGTTAAGAGAATAAGCTCATCAAATTATATATTTTCCAATATCAAGTAACTTTGGACTATATATGTTTTTTTTTTCAAATAAGAAAGCTCATTTATGATAATCCTTGAAATTGCAACTTTTAAACAAATGGACCAAGTGAATTGATATTTGAATTGCAGTCAGCTGCATATACGTGGATTTCCGGAAGGCTTTTGATACTGTTCACATAAACGACTCTTAAGTAAGATGTCAACATACCGAATAAGTAAACAAATTATTAACTGAACATCTAGCTTTATTTCCGAGAGGGAGCAATGGGTGTCCATGAAAACTGGAAATTGTATTTGGACGAGAGTACTCACTGGTACTCGGGGCTCTGCCCTTGGGCCGACATTATTGATATGCAGATACCAAGGATGTTAAACCAATGCGAGGAGACGCTAATGATGACCTGAACAAACGTCTTTCATGGAGCAAAAATTGCATTTTTTACCATTCAAAATGTAAATCCATACATAAAAGTCGGCCACGTGGAGAAAGAAAAAGATGTTGGTGTCAGTACAGATAAATCTCTTTCGTTTGATCAAATTAGTACCCAGGTTTAAAAAGCAAATCACATGTCCGTTTTTATATAACGATCATTTCATTTTCGTTAATGAGCATAATTTTACACTACTGTACAAAACTTTTACCTGGAATATTTGATAAGGTATGGCTTTCATTAAGACAAAGCACGAAGATATGGTAGAAGCAGTTTTAAGACAACCAAACAAAAAAACCTGGATTTCGGAATTTATCTTACTCGGAAACGGCAAACGAAATATGGTTGTATTGTTTGTAGATGTATCTATACAAATATCCTGTCATTTAGTTAGTTTTGTATCGTGAAATCGCAGCGCCTACAAAGTATTCAAATGTATGATGGTTACAATGGTTAGGAGATTACATTAGGAGTCAGATGTTGAGTCTGCCACTCGCTTATAGTTACAATTTGCATACTGACCTTAGCGCTTATAAAAAGTCTTTTTTTTTTAACTACAGATAAGTTCAAGGTTTTCTACCAACTGCATTTCAAAACATATTGACTGAAACTAGCTATTTGCCGTTCAATAAATGTCATTTAGTATCTTAAAATCTACACAAAACTAATAAAATGTTTTATGCACGTTAACGAAAAACTTTTGCATTGTGTATCTTTTTTTAAATCGAACAAATTAAATATATGTGACATTTTTTTTGAATTTATTAAAATTTCTTTCGTGACCGTTACCAGTCATATTTAAATGTACATTTACTACTTATCTAAATTTGTTTACGAAAAAAATAAAAACTCCCAAGTAAACAGACGTAATTTCTCGACGTATAATCAAATAAATTGTGTAACGACTTCTTTCAAACAAACACGAAGTCATGTCAGTAAATTATCTTAGAAATCACCTCACAGGCAGGTTGCGCAATACTTCAGCTTCTTTCTCCTACTTAGATATTGTTTTTTAAAATATCAATTTTCTTGAACTGTAAACCATTTTGATGTCAATGTTAATGCAATTTTACATATTAAAGCTTGTCTCGCTGCTGTTTTTTTTTTTTTTTTATCGTTTTTTTATCATGACGAATATTTCGCACTTTGGTCTATTTATCTACCACATTTAAAATGTTTGGTCGTCATCGCGTGCTTTGTAGGTGATTATTCGTGTGATACATTTTCGTAACACAAACTGAACAATTACTCTGAAAGATAGAAACGTCTCTTATTGATCCACTTAGTGGTAATGTTATATATAAGAATAATGAAATGGCTGCCTTAATGAACGCCGTTTTTTCATATAAGCAATTTAAATAACTTACATGTCCATATTCCACTTCTAGTTTTTAAAACTTAATCAACATTTAGTTTTTTGAACCTGCAATTAGAGGACATAGCAGGTATATAAATGGTATTAAATCAGAGAAGTTCTCAGGTATATTACTGTATATGTCACCAGATGTTACGATATACAGCTAAACCTCTCCAAAGTTTTATCAATAAATCTCTGTCGGTTTATTTAGAAACGAGCAATAGGTACAGTGTATGCCAGTATTTAAAAAAGATGAAAAAGACCCGCCTTCTAAATGCCGACTTATTTTCCTGACTATCAACAGTAGGCAAAGTCTTCTTTTAAAACACATATAAAATTATTTCTATGAAAACAATCTATTTTATACTATACTATACTAATTGTTCAACACTTAATTTGAATTTATCCGAATGTTTGCATAAACAATGTCTAAATATTTATAATCTTGAAGAACAGGTGAGATTATCCTACAGTCTGTCTTTCAATCCTGGCCTTTATATCCAACCTACCAAATGCTATCCATACCTTTTCTAGAATACCTTGTTACATGTGAATTTTTATACATATAAATAGTTTTCTCTATTTCTGGGGTGCTACGATAAAACAATGCCCAGAAGGAGAGCGAGTGTACACGAGAGCAATGTTATTAGGCGTGAGGATTCAAATGGACAGTTTGAATAAATGTAGCTTGAGTGTGTAGCTTGTGTTTACCAGGCAGCTATGTTATATATCCTATATTACTGTGCAATCAATTTTTATACATGATGATATTTGCTATATGATGTATTTGCCATTTCCTTGTACTTTCAACCTTGTTCTTCTTTCATTCTTATAATTTCCAAATTCGTTCTGTTGTTTAAAATGTACATATGAGTTGATTTGTGCTGTCATGTTGTTGGATTAAATTGTTGAGGAGGAGGGGGGAGGGTTCTAAGTTGCCATAACTTATCCCCATTCCTCTTGCGTGGTTTAAAAGAAATGAAATATGTTTAAGCTAAACTAAAACATGTAAACATGCACGAAGGCACAGACTTTTCCTCTTAATTTTGAATATGAGGTACTGAGTCCACCTTTTTACCACAATTAGAACAGAAAAAAAAAGAAAATTAATTTTCATTTAAGATCTTGCGATTTTGATAGTCTTACCATGAAAATCACATGCTATATAACAGGCAATTCAAAGTAATATGAACTGCTTTGTAAGTATACACTATGAACTGTATCTTAACATATGAAAAGTAACTTTAAAGACAAGAAGAAATATAATACCTATAAAATTGCGAATTTCAAGTTGATAATCGATTTTGGTGGTATATAAAAGACTATTGGCATATTAAAACTTCAAAAAAAATATCAGGTGTCAACATTATCATAATCCAAACCCAAATTAAAAAAAAAAAACTAGGACAACAAAATATGAACAAAAAAGATTTGCACGGATACTTCTGGAAAAACACAATGAGAATAAGACCAGATGTTCCGGAAGAGTAAGCGTATTCTGCTTCTTCGACGAATTAAGGCCAAATGTACCCTTGTTCCTCTCTTGGTCTGCTTGTTGTTTTCATGCAAGCGGAATGTATAGCAGAACTCATTAAGACAAAGCACAGAGACCTTTTCAAGCACTTCAATTTCGCTTTTAGATATGTTGTTCTTGGTAAAACATTTACCTGCTTAGACACATTTTTACATATAAATTCAATATGGCTACTCCATTTACATTTTTCGTTTACTGACAGCTGACAGGTAAACTAACCACATAGGAAATCTAGTGATGGCGATAATTAATCGAAGTTATATATAGGTTTTTGTATCACTTTTTTTCACTGATCCGCTAGATGTAAACACATTTCAATTTTTGTTGCTCTTTAAACAGCTTAATTCTTTTCCTTAAACCATAACTCTCCGAAAATGTAATCAGATATATTACTGTTTTTTTCCGGATATTTCTTTATTAAAAAATTTACAAAATGTATTAATGATTTTAATAAATGTGTAGATAATTTCAGTTATCAGATCATTGTTCATGATTATTTATATCTATCATTATTATTAATTCTTATAGCTTCCAACACGGGTGTTTTTTCCTAATACATGCACTTTATGACTTGATTAAATTCGTCGTGACGTCACCAATTCGTCATTCTATTGCTAAATCTAGAACGTGACTTTTGTGTTCTTTCTTATTGTAATGCTTGTCACGTTAATACTGATTACATCACAAACGTGTATGTAAAATTACGTATAATGAATATTAACCAATCAGAAGCTAGTATTTACTCTTCTCTGTCCTGTTGACTTCTACTTCCGGAATTTGTTGATTCTGTCGACACTTGTCTCGAGTTAATCTTTTCTTACTCGTATTAGCAGCAGAGGATGGGTTGCCTTTTCGCAAAATTAGGCTTTTTACGACCAAGACGTCATGCAGAATTACAGGAAGAGACTCCTCCAAAGTATTCATGGTAATATATTCTTTTAATTTATGTACTTTACTGGTTGCTGAGTGTAAACAAACCGGTTTGCTATTTAGATCCAGCAACGTTAGCCGGTCTGCATCCATTGATTATCAATGACTATTGGATAAAGGTATTTGAACGGAACAACCAGTTGGTCATGAATATAAAACTCATATTTAATTAGATACATGACTATATTTTATGCTTTATTAATTAATTTAAGTAATAAAAAACGGGGTTGGACTACATTTTAGATGTACATGTTCTGCAGGCATATACAGAGTACTGTTTAGGTCTTTGGTAACGTGTACATCAAGAACGTGGAATTTTGAGGTTTTGTTGGTTAACTTGGCCAGTACTATATCAAGTGGTGTACTACAGTGAGTGATTGATAATGCAATTATTTTGATGAGGTTTTGTGTGCATGTGTATAATGAATGTTGTGACTTCATAATATTGGCTAGCATTGTATGAATTTGGCACATTGCAAATTGCCTTATTATGCACCGTACTCATCCTGGATACTCCAGAGGCTATTGAATTGAATGTTCCATGCGGGACACATTGTGGACAAGGTGAAAAGACCAGTTTGATCCTTTAATGTACATCAAACAAAACTGGAGGTTGCACAATTTGGTAATAACTTTGAAGTTAGGTGTCACTCATTTGTGATCTTCGAAATGAGCATATCAGCATGTGCTTGGTCAGCAATTTTATCCTGGAAGCTGTCAAATTACTTCGCTTGTACCTTCAGCTGTGACATGACATGTACCAGGGGTGCAGAGAGTGAAAGTGAATGTAACCCTTAAAGTATTGAGGATGGCACCATATTGTGACCCATAAGTCATATTCTAGAGTTGGGTTATAGATTAATGTATGCAACATCCTCAACATAATTGGAAATATTTCAAGGAATAATACTAAAATAGTTATCATCAATGCAATCTACGTATCCTAACTGCGTGATATATATATACACTGTACCAGTGTATATGTGTGTTACAATTAAATTGTGCATGCACTACCTCAGCATTGTACCAGTAATATCTGATATATGGCTTTCACTAGGTCTGTGGCAGATATGAGACTCACTTGCCTCATTGATTGATAAGATGACCTTCTATAAAATTTGCAGATTATTAATTCAATTTAGTTGTTCTATAGGCATGTATCTCAAAAGTTTGCTGAGCTTTGTAAACAGAATGAGAAAACTGTTTTGAGCTGATCATGAGTGATAAGTATATAAAAGGTTCTCATTAATTTGTAATTATCATATCTAGAGAAACTTATTATGGTCAGTATATAACCTTAATTTGTGTAAATAAAGCAAACTATTTAGATTCTCACATTCTTTACAAAACAGTATACATACTTACTATTTTCCTGTAGTTATCTCCCTTACAATGTGCTGTTGCTGTAGTAAATTTTGTGGCAATGATATGCCTGTGGTTTAGTAAGTATAGTTTGATTTGTTCAACACAAAATTGCAAGTGATGCACATGCTGTGACATCATATTGTACTTATCATTATCAGGTACCCAAGTGTTCATTTCATTTTGAATTCGTAACTGCTTTGCGGTATCATTGTTATCTATGAAGATTTTCGAGCTTGATATTTTCAGATGAGTGCTAGTGTGTTTTGAGAAAATTCTGCTTTACTATACGAACCCCAAGGCCAAGAAGATATGTATATTGTTATGTTTGATTCCTGACATCCCTGCAGTCTCATTATCATTTGTAAAACTTGTCAAGATTTTTTTTTTGGTTTGTACCATTATGTTTTGAAGGAACATGTTTTTACTTGTTCAGGCCTACAATAAATCCTAGCTATCTGAAATTTTGTACATAAAAAATCTTTATTAAGCACTTCCTGCTCTATATACTGCCATGTTAAAGTCTCAGGTTTGATGGCTGGCTTGTTAACTGACACCAGTATGGTATTTTTTACACACTAAAGGAATACTGTATCACATTCTGATTGTGACCTTAGCTAATTATATAGCTTTACTTTTATCACTAGTCCTCAACATTTGGGTCACAGGTTCGAGTCCTACATTGGTCAGTCACCAGGTATTGGCTGCAGCTAGGTCAGTAATTTTTTTCTGCGGGAACTCCTGCTTGCCTCCACTGCCCACACCTGGCACATCCTTAAATGTCCCTGACTGTTAAAAGGATGTAAATCAACAATAAACAAAATAGACTCAACTTAAAAATGAATCTTATACAATACACCGAAACCCATATCAGCCTCGGGGGTGGGGGATATGAGGGAGGGAGAGGGGGTGGGGGTGGGGGCTTATAGTCTTAGTAAATATCTTGTCACCAAAACTTGTCATTGTTGAGGACCAACAAGCAAAAATATGATTAAAGATCTGTCAAAAAACTCACATACAGATCAAATAACATAATGGCTCTCTACACTCAGATCATGTGACTCTTTCAGTTATTGTAGAATTTTGAATGTTTATAAAGAAAAGTTTTGGGCAACAATAAATTATGTTTCACTGTGTGTATGTATAGTTCCTTACATGCTTTGCTCTGAGACGTGTCACCACTCTTAAGTATATGAATGCAGAACTATACATCTGACTTATCTGAAGACAATCAGAGACAACCTCATCTTGGCACCTGTCTCTATAGCAAGGACACAATCACCAATTGTTTAATCAAGTTTGGTGTCTGTGTATTGATTCCAATCATTTTGCTTAATAAAAAAATTGTCAAGATCTTTATAATAAGGAGAATCTGAATTGTCAGAATTGATAGTTGTTCTCAAAGCTGCCCACCCTCCACCAACCAGAAATGCATTTGTCAAGGGAGGTAACTCTAATCGGTCTCTGACTTTAATCCATTTACTTTTGCTATTAAACATATGATTTTTTTTTTTATTTAACCAAATAAATATATGGATTTGGAACAAGTTATACAACTGAGGAAGCCTTCTCCTATCAATACTACAAATGAAAAAATGTGATTTGCAGACATGCAGACAAAATTGTCTATCTTAATTTACCTCCTGAAAGAGTTATTTTTATTTCCAACCTCTCACCATCAAATGGTCCATGTTGAAGAATTTCTATTGTTTCAAAAGATAAAATTGTGTCTTAAATGTTAACTTGGTCATTTTCTTGAAGAAAATTCAAATACCATTTTGTTTCATAATTTGGATAAAATACCAGTGAGTGGAAAAGGACTTGTAGAATTTAATCTTAACTGAAATATATCCTTTAACAACAATTTTTCAAGGGTTTGTTTACAATATCAGGATTTTCATGAAAGATGTTGATAACACAGTGACAGATTGACATATCAATTGGAGTAATGCAGGCTGATGAATATAATGAGGACACTTTATCATCTGTACATTTCTGTCTGGTGGTTTTGTTGTTTTGTACATTTTATGGAAACATGCCATTACTGACCAAGAATTACATAATAAGTGTTGTCACTGAAGTAGAAAATGCTTACTCTTTTGGAGCAGCTGGTCTTACTCTCTTTGTACTGTTTCAAGAGTCTCTGTGTAAAATAAACTTTTGGTCATATTTTAGCCCATGTTTCTTAGAATTTGTGTCTGAATTACGTTTCTGTTGTCGTTATCAGTAGGATATTTGTGTTTTCGATTCACATGCACAGACAGATGGGGTTCAGTGATGTGTGTCATTTTACTGTAGCGTGGAAGACATCGTTAAGGAAAGGCAAACCTTTCTTTGGTATGTTGTTGAAAGCTGGAGATTTCTTACAGGTTTCCTGCCTCATTAACTATGGATGACACTGCAGGTGGAAAACTTTATTTTATTACCCTGTTGTGGAGGATGTGAAGAAAACAGAACAGATTTTTTTTTTCTATTTTTGTCGTGGTCTCATTGTACATTGTACACATTACAAAGAGTTAGTGGCAAGACTTATTCTATTGCACTTGTTAAATCTACACCATTGTAGCCTTTTATAAATAACTTGTTGACACTATAAAAACTATAAATGGCAGAATTTCTGTGTGGATGTCTTTTGATAAACTGTCATTTATTTGACAACAAACTGGGGTTAAAAACTAGGCATATTGTAGGTGATAAATCAGTATATAGGTTCTAAATTTTGTGGCATTAGTTCAAAGGAAATAAACACTTAAAATTGTTATTGTCATTTACTGAAAATGTACAGTTACATCAAATGTTACTTAAAGTGGATACTGAATACTGTTACATCAAATGTTACTCAAAGTGGATACTGAATACTGTTTCATCAAATGTTACTTAAAGTGGGTACTAGGTACAGTTACATCAAATGTAACTTAAAATGGATACTGATACAGTTACATCAAATGTTACTTAAAGTGGGTACTGATACAGTTACATCAAATGTTACTTTAAGTGGGAACTGGATACAGTTAAATCAAATGTTACTTAAAGTGGTTACTTGATACAGTTAGTAAGTCATTGATTTTGCCCATCCTTGCAAATTATAACATTTGTGCAAGTAACAATTTAATTACGACACAATGCTCCAAAGTGTACCTCACCTAGATTATATGATGAAAACAGACACACTTTACTTTTTAAAGAGGCCCAATGAAATTTATTTCGTGTGATAGTTACATATACAATTGTAATTTCAGATAATTTAAAGAAATATATGATGTCCAGCAAGCAGCACGTACCATATCCAGTATTCGATGAATTTATTTATTATTAATTTAGGCTACAATAAGCCCAGTGAATCAGCACAGTACTTCATATTCAAAGCCAGAGGATGGGCTTATTACAGGACAATGGAAAAACTTAGATTATGATTTTACTGAAAAGTAAATAAATATGGATGGGGACATTATCTAGGGATGGGGCTATACGTAGATACATTAAAAATGTATTTATCAACATTCATATGTGTAACCTTCATTTACCTCCTGCTAGAGAGATGTGGTTATCAGCTTGTACTTCTTCTGTCCATAGATAAAAAAAATCATCTGAATACAGTACATGTATATGCATTCCCAAAGTTTTCAATGATTT